CATGTATGTATGTATAAGTGTATGTATGTTTGTACATGTATGTATGCATGCATGTGTGTATGTATGGTGTCTCCTATCATTATTGGTTCTAATCTAATTCTTAAGTTCCTAAAGCATGTATGTAAATATGCATAGATCATTATATTGCTATTGTTTGAGATGTACCTCCTGGGAGAGGGCTTGTATAGGCTTTGCCTGTTGCCTAATTCCCATTAAATCTGATTGATTTAATAAAAAAAATTAAATGAAAGTGTCTCCACATGTCCAGCTGTTATCTTGCCGTTTGTTCGGTGTCTCCACGGGTCCAGCTATTGTCTTGCTGTTTGTTCGGTGTCTCCACAGGTGCAGCTGTTGGCTTGTCTTTCGTTCGGTGTCTCCACAGGTGCAGCTGTTGGCTTGTCTTTAGTTCGGTGTCTCCACAGGTCCAGCTGTTGTGTTGTCTTTTGTTCGGTGTCTCCACATGTCCAGATGTTGTCTTGCCGTTGTTCAGTGTCTCCACAGGTCCAGCTATTGTCTTGCCGTTTGTTCGGTGTCTCCACAGGTGCAGCTGTTGGCTTGTGTTTAGTTCGGTGTCTCCACAGGTCCAGCTGTTGTGTTGTCTTTTGTTCGGTGTCTCCACGGGTCCAGCTGTTGTGTTGTCTTTTGTGCGGTGTCTCCACAGGTCCAGCTGTTGTCTTGCGGTTTGTTCGGTGTCTCCACATGTCCAGCTGTTGTCTTGCCGTTTGTTTGGTGTCTCTACAGGTGCAGCTGTTGTATTTCCTTTTGTGTGGTGTTCCCTTTGTTGTTTTGTATCAATTCGGAGTTGGTATTCCTTATGCGCTTAATTAAACACGTTTTTTTATAATAACAAAAATAAGATGTTATCAATGTTGAACTGAAGTTTGCACAAGGGCTTTTTCTCTTGTTCTGTATGCTTTGTTGGCAGTTATGTCCCCTTTACAATACCTGTATTGAATCTTGTTTGAACTGAAACATTTTTGTCCTCTTTGTGAATTTTAGTTGAGGCATCTGTCTGAACCTATTATAGTTTATCTCTATTATGATATAAATATATTTTGTCCTGAGTATTACCCTCATTTCTCGGCCACATTTTTTAGGTATAATTAACCCAAGGATAATTTATTTGGCTGTATTTTCTTGCAGTTTAAAGCCGGAAGCACCTTACTTACAACTGATACAAAAGCTTGTCTTATATTTATTTTTTTATATATTTTTTCAATACAGTGACAATAATAATGGATCAGTAATTCATTCAGATCATATAATAACCTATTTGTCACCAATTATCTTTCATATCACCACTCATACCATACAAATTATGCAAAAAGAAATTTGTATCACTAAAGACTGCATATGGATAGGTATTATTTCATTTACTAGCACTCTGTATTGCTATAAGGAAGAAAGAGGGATAAAAGGAGAGAAAGAGAAGCTGGTAGGAAAACAAAGAAGAGAAAGAAGAAAAGATAAAGACAGATATCAGACAAGCATGTCAGGGAAGGAAGACAAAACAGAGCTAGATACTAATTAAAGTTAAGTAACAGAATTGTTACTGAATAATTAAGATATCAGCCTAAATCATGTCAGATTTTAGGCGAAATCAACTAATTTCATCCATTTCTTCCATTTATTTAGAATATTTTTTAGACAAGGATCACTTTTACCATATGAAATACATTTTTGAACCACATAGTTTTCTTTTATTACATTAGCTATAGCCATAACAGAGAGAGTACCATGTATAGTTCTGGTGCTGTAGATATAAAATTTGATTAGAAGAAGAACTTCATTATCAATGCATTGTAAATGCCTGTGTTATTTGCGAAACCAAATAACAATGTTTCTTTATTTATAGGTAATGTAATTGTTAGTGTATTTAACAACCTTTCAAAAAAAAGCCAGAACATTCTGAACTTCATCCCATTCCCAGAACATATGCACGATTGTCTCCCTTTCTCTATTACAGAAATTGCAATTAGGATTGTTTGATAAGCCTATTTTATGTGCATAAAAGTTAGTTGTTAGAAATATAGTGGTTAACCTTTAATTGTAGCCAACGTAGTTTAAAATTTTGAGTTGATCAAAAAGGAATACTTTATTTTTTTTCCATTTCTGTTGGGGTTTTTTATAAGAAGAATACGAAATGGTTTTACCCCTTAATTCCATCAATAGAGTTTCTAAAAATAATTGGTCATTGATAACAAATTCTATATCACCATTTCGAGATTTTTTTTACATAATTAGGTTGGTATTCAAGGAGGCAGTATTGCAGTTTAATGTTTGTAATTGTATTACCAATAAGATTAAAATAATCCTGGTAATGTAATAAGGAATTGTTGAATTTTCTCAGCCCCTTCCCTTTTTTAAATCATATAATTTTATCATAAACACAAATTTCTGTTAATACTTGAGCTGCAGTGTAGTGTAAAATCAAGATTCTCCTTTCTGTTCTCATAAAGACAATACATGTGTGCACGTGTATCATTACATGTACTGGCGCCAAGTATATCAACTGATGTAAATAAGAGTATATATGAGTCGTGTGATGTATGAATATATAATATGAAATGTTTGATTGTAACTATACCAGGTTTTGCGGAAAAATCTTGAATTAAAAGAAAATTACAAAACCAAATAATAAACTGAATGATAGTTATTGCAAAGTCTATCAATATATACAAAACATAGCAAAAAATACTGTTCTGACAGGTATATTGTTTTCGCACACATTCCAAAACCAAATACTACAAAAAAAAAGTTATTGAAGTGTAGATATCGAACAACAGATTTAAGAGGAATTTCACATGGACAGGTTTCTTTAGTGGTAAATGTGTTTATATTGTCATAAGAAGGCAGAGTTATTCACACCTTTAAAACAAGAACGTACTCAGAACATTTAAAATAATTACCTCATCTGTTAGACAATGTAAAAACAAATTAAATCACTTTGCATTCAGATTGACTATTAGATGCTGTTTATCTTAACTTCAATTTTCTATTGAAATAATTAAGTTACCCACAAATTGGCATTGGTGGACAATTTTAGTTTGATAAATATAGAACATATGTGGGGCAAACAAAACAGATACGTAAACAATCTCTTATTTAGTGTTATGGCTGTAGAATAATGAAAATATGAATTTGAATATTGAAATATATGTAATCGGTTAGATATTTCGTAAAGAAATGTGTTTCTCAAAACACTGACTGGATAGTGGGACAACTGGGATAATGGTAGCTATACGCACAGGGCTTGATCGTTATATTTACAGATTATCACATTGAGGGTTTTTTTTGTGAGAACAATATTTTCATCGCAAGCACGGGGAGGCCACCACATGTGAACCTTAAAACTATGTAATTTTTTTAAAACAATATCATCGTCATTGGCTTCTCATATGTACATTTACGCTTGTTACTTTCACATTTTTTTATTACTTTATGATGATCACTAAATGACGGACTATTTTCCTAGTTTTTTGTGGATACTATTTGCGGTTCAGGACGTCACCTGGCGAGAGCATGCCGTTTTTTTTCTCGAAAAAACAATACATTCCCAATTGAAAAGATACATTCTCAAGTTTTTCTCAAATTGTTCGCTACGTCCTCTTAAGCATTCCCATGCTTAAAACGCACGATAATGAATTTATCATGCTACCGGTTGGTGATATTAAGTAGTGTATAGACGATTTCCTATATTCTGTATAAGAATGTTGGTGTTATCTCCCCTTACAACTCTCTACGAGTAACTGCTCTAAGGATGACCAGAAATCAATATGAATTGATTGACCGTTTTGATAATTCCTATAGTATACATGACCAATTTCTATATGTAGCTATTTTTCTGTTGCAGCACAACGCAACTTATATCAACAATACATTCAATGGATATGGATGTTGAATTGTGATATTACAGGTGGAATTAGAGAAGTCGAGGATGGGATGTGCAACTTCTATGACAGCAGCAAACCGATCAGTTGTTTCAACGACAGAGTCAAAACTTTTGACAAATAAACAGCGATATATCATCAAAAAAACATGGAAAGTGATGTGTTCCAATATCACTGGACACGGCATAAAGGTTTTTCTCCGCATATTTCAACTCCATCCGCACGTCAAACAATTGTTTCCTTGTAGAGACGTTGAAGGGGAAGACCTCTTACGTGATTCCAACTTCAAGGGACATGCCTCAAGATTTATGCAGGCTGTCGGAGCGGCAGTCGAAAACATTGATGACATAGAAGCAGCACTCACGCCATTACTAACTGGCCTTGGAAAGCAGCATATACAGTTTACAGGTTTTAAGAACGAATATTTCGACGCATTTACAGAGGCCATGATGTATGCATGGCATGAGGAATTGAAAGGACAGTTTTCCGGTGAAACAAGCCTGGCATGGGCGACAGTATTTGAATTCATAATGCACAAACTGAAGGAAGGACACGCGGCGGCATTAGCTAACAGCGATAAGGTTCAACAGAATTTAGAATCCAATGATCAGATTGCATCGAAGTGAAAAGTTATTATTACCGTGTTATTGCCAGCATGTTTGAAGAACATTTGATGGTGAAAGCAACACATGTTGTTTTTGTAACATTCTGTCGGTACGTTTTTTGACAGTTTGAAGTTTAAGTTGTCAAATCAGGACAACCTGTTTTTGTGTGACAATTTACAATTTTAACTCATAAAATCTTCCAAACTTCCCGTGTTGGACTTTTAGAAATCGTTATGTATACACCAGTCTAGCTGGACACGTTTTACAAATTACGACGACTTAAACATGTCGTCAATTCATGTCAAATGATAAATGAAACATATTCTTTGTTGTTTTATTTTAGTTGTAGGTACGAGTTTAATCGGTAGATTGTTGTTAACCTCCTAGTTTTGATGGGTGCCATATGTGGCAAGGAAACGCTTAACATTTTGAGGCACTTCATTTTAAGCTAGTATTTTGCAGGTAATGTCTTTGTTTTTGTTTTTTGTAAAACAAGGAATCTTCGTCAAAAATCATTTCTTTTATTTACAGAGAGAACAATACAAAAAGTAATGTATACATAAGATATAAAAAATTCGTGCAGAACTAACTTTGGCCGTTTTTCATTATTTCAGTCTAATGTTGTCCCTGGAAAGAAAACAATAATACCATTATATATTTCATTTCAAATTTAAGATCTTACAATGCATGCTTTTGTTAGAATAAAAAATCACACGTGTCCTGAAATAAAAATGAAGTGTTTAAGAAAGTATACCGGAGCAAAGCAATATAAATTAGTAACGCTATTTTACGACAACAGTAATTATAAAGTAATTACTTTTTCACCTGGAATGCTTTTTGTTTCGTTCCCTCAGCATTTTTATAGAAAGTATGACAGAGTAATGTCAGGATGCAAGTATACATCGGGATAAATACAGTACTGTAAATATCGACATTTTCGCGGATCAGAATGTTACCTATGTAAAACAATTTTTATCGACAATGCTTCTGAAATTTTCCTTTCATCACATATAAAAGTTGAAATAGGCCAAAATATTGATACTGTGACTAATTCAGCTTTTCCTGAATTACGTCGTGTACTTACATGACAGCCACATTCATTACAGACATCACAGACACCAGAGTTCTTCAGCACTATGGATTGGTAGAACTTCGTCACTTGGTTACCTGTTTTGTAAAAGAAATAAAGCATTTGAATACGTTAAATCCTATCTAGCGGGACGTATGTTTAGATGAAATGTCGACCTTACTGTTCCTACTAGTATATTCTTGACCCTTTATGGTAGAATCATTGTAGGACAAGTTTCAGACTAAATCCTCGCAAAATATGAATACTTACTCATCGCATGTAAATCGCACGTAATTTGATCATGCCAAATGCTATGCTGTATACATGTTTGCTTTATTTTTTTGATGGCATAGCTATTTTTGAAGCTGAATATATATATATAAAAACCACAACACAGTGAATATCTAATGAATTAGTACTTTGCGACAGTCGGTCTTGTAGGTTTTTACATAATACTAATATTGTTCAGATATAGTTTAACAACTAATAAACGAACAGTATTAATTATCTTTTCCTGTGGATAACTTACTCCGAAAAACGTACTCGCGAAAATAAAATAATTGAAATATTTCTGCAGAATTGTCTACTGTATATTGAGAGTATGTAAATATATTCAACAAGATTTATCTTACTTGGCTCATAGTAGTCATAGACTCTGATAGGAGCCGGCTGCGACTTTGCAACTTTGTCCGTCCTGAAGGCGTCCATAGTTACACACAGGGGGGTCGTGGTAATCTAGATAAAGTGAATTCGGATTACAGATTAGACATTAATGACTGTATATATAAGTAATATAAAAATGTAATAAAGCTCTGACACTTTACCGAAATGACTAAGGATTTCGTCGCAAAAAATTGGCCGTTTCGGTCAAAGGGTAAATATGATCCTGTCGACAAAAACTAGGTTGACGAGTTTCGAATCGATCTCATTAATATACCTACACAGAAACACGCCAAACACTAGCTGATGGATGACTTTCTACTAATTTTTAATGTACACTGTCTGTATCACTTAAAAGCAAATTATCCTTTATGAATAAATATATATATATAAATTTGTGCCGTCAAAAGACACGGAGCATTAGCAAATACAGACCTCAGACTATAGATAATGCTTCCAGTTCATCAATACATATGTTTCTTTCTGTGATAGAGATAGAGTGAAACTATTATGTTATACGGACAAGAAACTGATTTTTTCCACAAGTTAATGTTTATTATTTGGCTGTGAGACGTGACTCATGGCAAAAGCATCGTATGCTGTTAAGACACTGTACATTAATTTGAGGTCATTTCATCATTTTAAGGGATTGTGTGGACGTCGTTATAATGATCTCGGGAAAAATGCTGATAAAATGGTGCTTTCCAGATAGTCATTTTTCAGCAAGAATTTGGTCTAGAGCAAAATATCGATAATTGTTCTTTAGTTAAGATTTCGTCGTCGCAATAAATGAATGATTAACAACAATCGGAAGAGTCATGGGAAAGAGTCCTTTAAATTAAATGAAATAGCTACCATTCTTACTTATTGAAAGCTTTAACAGTTAATTATTCGTTGTTGTTATTAAACACGTTTCACGAAATATCTCACCTTAAGCTAAACGTGTTACCAAGCTTATTAGAATAACATCAGAATCGAGATGGCATATCTTGAAACGAGCTTACGATGCCTTCACTTGAAACGCCACATGATGTCGTCACAAAGATATTACCAAATGGTACCACTTGTTGTGGAAGACACTTGAGTTTTCGAAATCGTTACTTGTGGTGATCATTCGTTAATAGCAGTTTAATATCCTAGTTCTGATGATACTTATTGATCAGCATATTGTACCACCAGTCAATGTTTGCTGATATAAGTTATTTTTTTGAGGGTTAAATAAAAATCTACCAATGTCTGCTGTTTATTTGTTGTGGATAAAAAATCTTTCTACTTCGTTTACATTTAAATTTTCCAGTATAGATATTTAAAGCAACGTTTTGCAATAACAAGAAAACCGTATTCTTTGATCCATGACCTAAAGGACCACAGAAATACAAAAGATGAAACATGTTAATGCAGTATTTAAGGTAAGTCTATGCTTGGTTAAATGTTCATACCTCGTCAAAGTACAAAATGACCTTGCGATTCTCCGTCTCAGTCTTCTTCAGGGTGGCCATTTTCCCTATGCTTTCAACATCAGGGGCGAAACCGGTCGGCACGCCAACTTCCTGCACGGCCATTCCACTGGCTCCAGTTTTCAGCCACCTGTAATCCCAATTAATCGAAGTTTTAAGTACGATGGCATTGCTGGCAATAAATACATGGACTGATAAACATGCATACACATTTTCAGAAGGTTTTTTCTTGTTGTGCATATAAGAAAAAAACATGCTTTTTCGTATTTGTTAAAAAAGTGACTAACATTACTTTATACAATACATGAATTTAAATTCAATTGAAAAAAACCACTTCTTACTTTGTACAGGATCGGACTTTTAGGGAGTTGATTGTTTCTTCGATAATCGTAACATCAACTTCAAATGATGGCTGTTCGACCTCTTGCTCAACATTAAAGAATACAGATACCTGTAACAAAATATAACTGCATGTTACGTGGGTAAGATATTTAAAAGCTATATTAATTTCAGGATTTTTAAAATGGTACACTGATATTTCATGCATAATCGTGGTATTATTATCGTTACTTGTATTTTGATGAAACAAAGCAGCAAACCTCGACTAGGCCCATTCCACTTCCGGTTCCTGTAACAGTTACGTGGCTTGGTATGGATGGGAGCTGAACAGAAATTAATTTGCAAACTCATAAAATATATGGACTACCAAATCGTAAAGCACAGTGTTGAATGGAATACAAATCTCTAGTGACAACAGTCACCAGTTTGAAAGATGTTATAAAACATACAATCTAATGTTTCGACTTACTGTCTAGCGGAAATGCTACTTTCTCATAACGAATTATATATTCAATGTACATTCTTTAGTGAAAAAGTGAAAAGCCTCTCTTTTATCTGGAAGAGGTAAATAATAGTGCACAGTGGCAACGTTATTAAGCAATTTGATAGAATATAAAAAATACTTGTTCAAACTCTAGTAGCAAAGCTCCAAATTTAAACGAGTTTCAGTACTATCTCTACTAAACATTTTCAAGTATTTTGGTGAGTTTAAAATAATAAATTCAAGTAAATATCTAATGTATTATCACCAGTATAAAATCTACTTACTTCCAATGATTGAAGTACCAATGCATTCTGTCTGGTGACGTTAAACTTGTGAGTAGTTTGTCCAGCTGTGATTCCGATTTGCATGTTGAAGTGTTCAGAATATCCGATACGAGCGAACTCGGACAAGGACTGTAGTGCTAATACGGTATCCTGGAACCAATATAAAGATGATTTTTCCAACAGTGCAATTAAAATATAAAACATTATATATGTTAAACTTTGGATGAGGTATATAATATATATATGTATATGGAATTTGAGGAAGATTCCTCCTCTTTTTTTCACTTTTGATTTTAAACCTCCCTGAACCAACACAAAAAATGCATGAATATAAATAAATCTATTATGCTTGGTGACATCGCTCAGTTGCAATTTCAATGCCAAAGCTTTCACTACAATCTTATCAACGCGACATTTATTATCTGAACTGTAATATCTATTTGGAGGTAACAAACACATTTTAAATTTTCCTAATGACGTTTATCCTTTTTCATACGTTTGTTTAATCGTAAATCTGTACTGACCTGAGTTGAAGAAAAGCCTCCATTGGGATTCCTCTGCTTTGTGATCCATTTCATGAAAGGAAGCCCTTCAGTAAACTGACCGTTGTGAGCAAACACCATTAGGCCATATGACGTCATCTCAATATCCACTGGCTTGGATTGCTGATGGGGTGGGGACCAGTAGTGGCCGGTTGAGGATGAGGCTGATTCTGGTTCATGCCAGTGGGTCATACCGTCTGTAAAGAAACAAAACCGTGAAATAAACGATATGATGATACAAAGACAACATCAAGGAAAATGTTCCAATATTATAAAAAGTATTTTTCGACCATTATAACAATTATAAAGGGTGAGAAAGGGAACAGCACAAAGCATCCCAATGTTTGTTTACAATTAACATTATTTTATATATGATATCTTAAAAAGTTTGGTAGTTTTCAATGAAATGTCATTCAAATTGTTGACAGATGTGATGATATGATAGGATGTCATATGACTATGAAACACTCTATACGCTTTATATAGTATTGCCACACGGAATTGTCATCATAGGGACACAGAAGCAGTAAAGATACGAATGATAATGTTGCAATGTATTCAGTGGATTGATGTGTGTTTCTTCAATATCTTTGCTAAAAGGATAAAGAAGATTAACCTGATTACGTGGAGGGAGAGGGCATATAAGTCGGCAAGTAGAGAGGTGGCACATTCGACGCCTCACAAAAACGAAACACGTAGTTCGCCTTACACAGAGAAGGCGAATCAGTTGTGTCATAGTTTTCCAATAACCTTCTTGGTAATTAACGTTTCTACACTCCCTCACCTTTTTAGGAACAAAGTAAGTCTATATAAAACAATTATGCAACAAGCAATGCCCAACCACTGACCTCACTATTATCTAAGAAGGAATCGCAAACCTTTAGTAACTGCTGTGGCCATGAGTTTATGGAAGGTTGTTGCGGAGGAATGACTTCTTGCTAAAGTCAATGCGTAGCTGCAAATGGATAGGCCGTAGGGGTCTGTCATGGCGGATACCTCTCCCTCCAGGTATGTCTGGGCTTTATTGGCTGCTGATTGTATCCTCAGGTGCACACCCTGTAGATTTAAAAATATCACTGTTGCTTAAAAATGATTTGATATAGCATTACAAGTACTTGCTTATAATACAATATACAATAACATAACACATATTATAGTCATGAATATCTAGGTGCTTGTTATATATTCGGTTAGAGGCAATGTCCTTTAATGCGTTTTAGAACATGTCATTCAGCATTACAAGGCAGAATTGAAAACACCATAGGTTTGATCTTCAACAATTACTTATTTCCACATGTGTGTAAGACGATGACCTGATGTATAACTTACTCCTTGCAGGTCACTGTTTTCCAGTAAGGCGATAAGGACGAAGGCGGTCAAAGAAGCACCGGAGGCAGATCCACCCTAAATCAGAAAACAGATCAGACGCTTTAACATTAAGATGCATGGTCATTTGAGAACAAACATGTATAACATATTCACGTTAAAAGCAAGGAAAGACGGTCACATAAATTACATTGCTTACTATTCTTGTTTTACTAATTTATTAAGTCAATGTACCCTGTAGCAGCCTTAGCATTCTGTTATTTTTATCCTACAGTGATGTGTGTTACTGGCATAGATATCAGAGGCATACTAGGGTATACAAGAAACCAGGTACAATGAGATATAAAGTAACCAAGATATCTAATAATACCTTCAAAAATAAAGTTCAAGGATCATGAGAGAGAATCCTCATGTTATATAACGTCAATCGTCCTTCTCGTTTGATAATAGTTAAATTCATTTTGCACACTAAAATATTAGTTTCTTAACTTATTTTACACATGAACTCCCTCATTTGCATAATAACATCAACATTACCTGCATGTTCTTATGAATGATACGACCAGGTTCTGGGAAGGAACCATTTGCTGCCTGGCGGTTTATCATCCAATCAATAGCTCTGGTTAGAGTTTCATCATCGATAAAGACATGACGTTTCGCCTGGTGGAATGACTTCGCAACAAAAGCCGTTAGCCACATGCTACCCGATGGGTCCCTGTCTCCGAAAGCACTGAATGATCCATCCCAGTGCTGGAAAGTTAGTTCTCTTTGGTATCCTGTAAAAATCACATTTATTGTACATTATACAGACTGACACATTCAAAAGTAACAAACCGGAACATAACTGGCCATGTCTTATTCAGATGTAATGAATAAATTGCAATGTATCATTGCTATATTATTTGACCGATATAATTCATTCAAGTTATATTTCGCATGTATGTTTTAGAAATAGAAACACGTTTCTTGTATTTGAAATTTTGAACATGGCAGAATAATATTTTATTATCTTCATATAAAGTATTGTTGACTGTTTATACATTTCGGCTTAAGATTTTCTTACCAAATACTAATCATCCATGATATTTTTAATTAAATTCATTCATCGAAATCTTTCGCATTATATATTAAGAAACGTTAAAAAACATAACTAGACAAAATACCTATATAGTTTTAAATTTGATTTGTTATTTCAATATAATTATTGATAAACACAGAGGTTTTTCTAAAGAAAAAAGTGCAATGTTTTGTAAAAAAAAGAATCCATTACACACATACTTTTTACCTGAAGAGAGAAAAAAAAGTAATGCATTAATACTATAAATTACTCATTTTTCGTATGACACTTACTTTTGCTTAAACCACGTACAATTTCGATCGCGGTTTCAAGAGCGACGCGATTTCTTTTCTCAGTAAATTAAAGGAGCTATGACTTTGCGTAGTAAAACAAAATCTCATGTAAAAAGTACGGAATGGTGAGTTTTCGAAATGAAGTATAGGGGTTATACATAAAGTTTACAGTTTTTATCGAAGTTAAACAAATGAAGCATATGAGCATACCTTTCTCCATAAAGTTGATCGCTTTCTCCTCGACACTTGATGTCAACTGGTGGGTATCGGTGAGATAGTTAGTTACAAACACATCAGGTGCGAAACCTAACATCGTCTGTTCTCCACATCCGGTTGGCATGCGCAAAAGTTTGTCTAGCCCATTGACCGTTGGTCCCATTAAGTCACCTACAAAAAGAAAATGAATAAGTTGTTAAAAATCTTTATTTTTTATTCCATTTAATTATTTTTCACGCAGGGAAGGTCTGCAAAAATCTTCAAAATCGATTTGACATTTCCGGAATCATACAAAACAAGCATAAACACGAATCAAGGAAATAGTCTTTCGTAAAAATATTAATCTATGTGATACAATACGTTATCATATGCTGCGTTGACAATATCGTTTAACATTCACAGCTTTTTTACGATGCTTTCATTCATTTAAATCAACTTCTTGAAAAAATATTACAGATGAAAACATACCGATAGCCGAAACATGCACTCGATGTGATCCGGCGACGACCCCAGCAGGTAATGTGACATCAACTGTCTCCGCGAAGTTGGTGTTGTGTTTCAGGTCAACAAGCATCGGTATATTGTACTCTTTCGGGACACCTTCAGCCTTATCGTGAAACAGGTTACATAATTCTTAGTTACTGTAATTCCTTGAATAAACCTTTCTCGCTGAATTACAAACGGTATCTAACGTCCCATCGACCGAAATACCCACTACGTTAGTAAGTATACTTATATTGATACTCAATTTGAGTTTATATCAGATTTTTTTATTTTACTTATACTGATACTTTTAAATAATACTGATACGGTAATAATAAAAAATATCTACGTGAGCAGTAGCAAATTCCAGAATTTATCTATTTTACGTATATTTATTTCATTGCTGATAATCGATCACTTCACGGAGGGCCGTCTCAAGATCAATAACCCTGTTTTGTACGAGCGCAAAAAAATATCACTTGCGACAGAATTAAGATATTCGTGCGAACAGGACTACAATCCATTTAAATCCTCATTCTAGGACCCATTTCAAAACCCGAACCATAAACAGGGTTGAGATTTTCTCTATCCATTTCTTTCAGAGGTCATTGTTTTTGTATGCCTCCACTATGAGTCGAACTAGGGACCTATGGCCTACTATTCTTACTCTCAACCGAGTGAGCTAAAGAGAAATTCTCCCTAGATAGGTTGGTAGTATTTTACCAGGATGACATAATAACGCAATGTGTTTATTTAGGTTTGATAGTGGAACCCATGACTAGTGGAACCCGTGACTATTAGCTATTCAGAGTAAATAAGGTTTTCTCTGGTGTACGTACCCAAAATCAGTAAAGATAACGTCATGGAAAGTTTATTATATCATAATCTTGAATAAAATCATAAATGAATTTACTAGTGCTGTTACAAAGCGCTTACCATTACAAAACATGTATACATATATATTGAAAAGACAAAAGTCCCGTTTCAAAGTAAGCCTTATTATTATATATTAATGGTTTGGATTAAGTAGCGTTTGAAATATGTCCAAGACATGTTCCTACCTGAACATACCACAGACCATGCTGACTTTATACGGACACACTAAAATGATGAATCGAGTTCGAAAACAAGTAAACAATATCAGCAACTGTACCTCAATAAGGAGTTGTCGCCTAACAGCGTCGGCGGCCAACGTAGACTGGGCCTTCACGTTAATACTGACAGAACCAAGGCCGGCAGGAACCACAGGGAAAAACACAGATTTTGTTCCACCAGCTGTTACCTAGAGACACAATATCGAGATCTACAGTAAGTCGTGAAACAAGGGTTCGGTTGTATTTGATAGGTAAAATATGGTTAAAACGTACTTAAAACACACATAAATGCAATCAGCAGTATACTCTATGATGTATTATTCATATCGAATAACATCTTGTATATAAAAATTACATCCTTATGGAAATATTTGAATTAATTTTTGATAATGATAATGAATAGATATATCGTATACTGATTTTCAAACATTATCTATGATGTATTTTCATAATGGTTCAGTTATTTGCATTTCATGGTTTTCAATTTAAGAAATAAAATAATTACCGAAAATAAATAATTAAACATTTCATCGTAGATAACAAAATCGAAACGGAAAAAATTGAAACGTTCTCAATATCTGCAGTTCTGCAGCATGGTTTTTGATGGACAAATATGGGAANTTAGGAGACTAAATAGAACTTGCAACAATTATATAACTTCATAGAAAAAAAATCCACAAAAATAGATCAGCTAGAATGTAATCCTACACAGGAATGTCAACAGTATGTTCAATACGATTTCTATCCGGTATAGCGAACACGAGAAAACTTTTTTTATTATGTGTTTTGTTAGACAAAAAATAAACTACCCAAGATTTTTGAATGGAAATTAATTATCTAGTTCATCAGATAAATGCATGCAATAATTTGCTATGCGTCTACCTGGTATTGGTTATTGTCTCGACAAAACAGCGTTAAGCTAAACAAAAAATGGGATCAATGAGAAAAAAGATGTTTAGGAAAATATATCACGCTAACAGTTAGCCATATGTCATCTGTTTAATCCTCCTGATTGGAATTTGTATGTAAAAGAAATCTATGACATATCGTTTTCGTCATTTGTCCAGTATGTATAAAAGTATACCTCTAGATAGTTTTTGGTCCGAGCTAATGTGGTAAGATTTTGAAATGACTTGATTCTAAGCAAACATTAGAATTGAAAAGTATATGTATGTCCCTAAAACATTCTAGATTTGGATAAACAATGGCTTAATTGATGATAGTTAATTGTATTTTCTCTGTTGTTATATCTGTATAACTACTTACGTGTACAGTCTTTGTTGTTGTCTGGGCGATGTAGGACTCTGTGCCATGTGTATCGAATACGACATTTACCAGATCATCATTCTTTTCTAATGTGACAACGACCTGGTATGTTAGGAAAAACATTAAATAAAACACAAAGAAAGTTCAATCAAACATGTTACTTACGGTCAACGGTGTTCAAGAACGGACTGACATTACTAAAAAGACGTCATGTAAATACCACCCTTTATTTATTCTTTTATGTGCACATTGCGATGATTATCTGCTTGCTTAATATATAAAAGTGATTGTAAGCCTTTATTTTTGTTTTACAATTATAACTTATACTATTATCCATATGTAGTTTAGCGCTTTAGAGTAATTTTACAAATTATATTGGGCGCTATATAAATGCAGTATATTATTATTATTGGATTTTTAAACTTTCCGTCAGCGCCAACTCAAAATGATCAAAATGTAAACTGTTTAAGTCTACTCCTTCAGAACAAAACAAGATATTAAAATATTTTCATTTATATATTTTTCTCTTTGAAAACACATGAAAAGAAGAATGAACAAAAACTGTTGTATGTCGTTTTGAAATTGCCAACTCTTAATGATTTTGTTATTCTGTGTCATCTGACTCAGAAATATGATACGACGCTGAATATACGTACGTCCATATCCATAGTCATATAGTTGAACACATTGGCCTGCAGTACGAGTTGTTCTCCTCTCACAACTGAGTAAGGCAATGTCAGGCTGACAAAGAATGGTCTGAAGGCTTCAACCTGTNAAATACAACTAAAAATTTGGAACGAGAGTAATATTTTTACAAAATGAATGCAATTATGATACAATATTGAAGAAAGCAGCCTTTCCAAAACGGATAAAAGTTCATTGTTCTTGATCAATTTATAAGTTCAAAACTATTGTTTACTATGGTAAGCGTGCCTTTGCGCTTGTTGGAGCGATTCCGAGACCACTGGTGGCGTGGACAGCAAAGGCACTGGCAACCCATGACGTAATCGTATCCGGGACTGTGGCAGCAATGGTCACGTTGCCGTCTGGTCTACGTTAGTTAACAAATCGAAAAGGAATGTTGTAATGGATAATGTATGCTTTGTATGTTACGACCAATCATTATAAAACAGTTTTATAGTCTGTAATACAGGTATTCGATTTTATCATATTCTTTAAGCGTCCGGAAAAAATAAAAACAAAATATTTGAGACATTTTGTCTTTAAAATATATTTGACTGCACAAAAATAATCAGATTTACTATACTCAGTATAATAGACGTATTGACATTTTATTGTTGAAAACAAATGTATATTTTAATATCAAATAAATAACAATCACTCATACTGAGCTGAATTTGAAATATATTGAGTTATGAAATATTTAACATGTGAGAGACATAAGAAGCCTATGTCAGATGAAGGTGCAGGAAGGCAAAAAGTAAGGCAACAAAGAAACAACTAAGCATAACATATAAATACAAAAGAACAATTCTAGCAATAAATGTAAATAGCCATATGATGTAAAGTTTTAAATCAACACAATTTTATTCTGTTTTATGATTAAATAAGTATATAGTTATAAGTCGTTTGTTGCTGTAGTTTTCTACTGTCACAAATAATAAAATTATTGTTTTTATTAAATGTATACAGAGACAAGGAAAAGATCTAGCAAGTAAGCTGTTCAAGAATAAAGAGACATTTTTATTTTCACGTCTCCTAACCGTTGCGAGTTGTAATCAGAACAACTATTGAAGATTAATTTCCCCGAGTTGAGAACACATGGCGTTTGCTTTTTTATATGGTATTTAAAATATGTTTTAAATACTGCTTTTTTTTCTTCTTTTTTTAAAGATACTTACCAGTCTTACAAATTTCAAACAACGAACAAACGTGTTTTTCCTCGAGATCCTGCCGTCTAAATCCAACTTATGGAAACGGAGCCCATATGTGTGATTTCAACAAGAGTCATATTTTTAATTTGGATATCGAAACTAACTTTCTTTCTCATTTTTTCAATATATACTGTACTTTTTTATTTCAATTTCTAACCAATTTAAAATCAGATTTGTTTTTGCCTGAAAGCGGTGTTACGAGAGTAAATAAAAAGCCAGACTATTGTTAGCAAAGATAGGCGCGGGATACTACTAAAGCTGGGGTTCATAAAGGAGTAAGGGGAACAGACTAATAAGGGCTATTGTAATAATGACCTTCCACTGGAATATCACAGAATGTATTTTGAAAGGAATATGAGCTAACTTGGCTTCTCTTGAAATAAAGCCACTTGGTATAACGAACGTGTATGTTCTTTGTTATTGAGTCAAGCATGAAGAGCTAATTGTTCCACCATTATAGTGGTATCACTCAGTGGAAACCATAAAGTGTTGTGAGAAGAAATCTTTACCCAATTGTTTCATTGAGCCAGAGCCATGTTTCTGGAAAATCATAACGAATTGTCTCCACTTCTTTCAGCAAGGGAGTTCCTCAAATATCACCAGAGGCCAAGCCAGTTGCCGTACCAGCACCCATTGAACCACCCATAGCAGGACCCATAGCAGCACCTGAGGCCATTCCATTTATAGCCCCAAAACCACCACCACCCCCTCCCGCCATCCAAGCAGCGGCCATAGGAAACATTTGGGGGTTTTAAAACAACAAAATCCTTCTAGGCAAGTGCAAATATGATTCGGACTCAGTAAGAATTAAATTGTCCATNAGTTCTACCTAATGCTGTGTGATAGCGTCAGGATGGAGAGCGAAGGGTCGACAATTTTCTTTCATCTTGGACCATTAAATTCTAAAGCAGAAGGAGTTCACTGATCGTAATGTGAAAATACTGGGTCGGGGACGAGTGATCCTAACTTAATTTTATAATTTTAAGGTCTAATTTTGTCTTTCACATAATAAAACTTTAATTTAATACTTAGCGTATCCCTTTACTCTTTTGCAGCTTTATTGTAGTCTTCTCTCTGTTCAAGACTATTAGATACAGTTTAACGTGCCAAATGAGTTGAATATACACTTGACCCCCTTTCATGTCCTTCGAAAAAACAAAATTTGTTTAGAGCAAAACTCGAAAGATTTTCGTTTAAATGTTATGCGGCGAATTGTATTAAGAATAAGCCATATTTACACCGGACCACAGAGTCATGACACGTGCAGAAATATCAGGATAATTGATAGACGCCTCACATATAAAAAAAAAACACTATCATTGGAAAGGTATCTAACTAAAAACTCCGTGATAATATTTATTTATAGATATAGATACTTCTATTTAACCAAACATGTTTTTTTATCTAAAAACAGATACTCTGAAATAGTCTATGGGAAGTGTAGAGTACATGTATAGATGAGTATAGTAAATTATAACACGGAAAAACATCGCTAGACATTCAATACTCCCGTACTGATTAATGGGCGGCAATAAAATTAGGTTTTTGTCCACTTATGTTCTACAATAGATATGCGCATGTATACCTAAATTTGTTAACTTCGAATGCAATGTAATATGAGAATTACCTCGGACGACTATTGAAAAAGTTGCTAGACATTCAATACTCCCGTACTGATTAATGGGCGGCAATAAAATTAGGTTTTTGTCCACTTATGTTCTACAATAGATATGCGCATGTATACCTAAATTTGTTAACTTCGAATGCAATGTAATATGAGAATTACCTCGGACGACTATTGAAAAAGGAAATATCATGGGAAAGGTAAAACAGAAATAAACGCGAAGTTGGGGGATGCATTCAGTTTAGTTCCATGTGTTTCTAATCGGAAACCAATAGCAACATATCACTATAAAACTTAATCACAGTGAACTTAACAACTTTGAATGTGGATCATTTAAAATTGGTATGATCTTTACTGGGTATGTATTTCAAAATTATTTTGCATCTTAACACTTAGGATGGTA